TTTAATATTATTATTTTTATTAGCTTTCGCATAATAATAACCTTCTCGTAGGTATTACGGTACGAGTCGAGAAACCAACAACAATATTGATCGGTCGACCTATAACCTCCATTTCCTCATTTGTTATATATATTGTTGTTATATGTCATTTGTTGAGTCTCGAAGATCTCATGAGTTTATAGATTTCGTGTGTTACCTACCGTATAACATAACAGACCAGTGAATGTCCATCGACTATAGCGTGTACCTACGTGCTAGGACCACAGATACCGATGAGCGTCAATTTAGGTATCGTTCAATATAAAGTATTTGTCGATGTATTTGTGATATTGATGCAGCTATTGGTAGACTCCTCTTTGCGGATTTTTTCAGCCATTTTATTGACATTCAGTGATGGATGAATCCAATAAAAATCGCTTACTAAAAATAAACATCGACATTTAGAAACTGATATATTTGTGTTTGTAAAATTACTAACTGGTTTTCGTTTTAAATGTGCGTACGTTTTATAAGGTATCGACTTCGGAAATTTGTTTCGTCTGTAATGGTTTTAACGTAGCACAACAGATATACTTTCAAATAGATTATACGCATTATTCGCGCTTAACTTTTGTTCATTTGTGTAAACGCTCTCATCGTTTGTACGGACGTATTTACATAAAACGAGCTTTTTCAGAATAAAAAGTATCTATTTAACTTTGTAAAATTAATTTGCATTGGCTTGCACTACCATTAGAAATATCATTGACAAACCTTCCTGTGTCTACTTTATCTGCAGGTCTCGTTACTATCAGTCGTGCAATTTACTCGTAAAACAAACAAACAAAAATTTGATAAAATTTTGCATAAAATTATTAATGTTTTTTAAACGCCAATAAAACGTAAAAATTATAGAATAATTCATGATGATTTGTATGTAATTAAATTTAAATTCGTATTTATAATGCGGTATAAATTTTCCATAAGGTCCTTAAAATCATTTTTTCATCAAAACAACCTTAGCGACTTACCAAAATTAAGGTACCTACTTCTAATGGTAAGATTTAAAAAAAAAGTAAATATTTTTGATTTAGTAAAAGATTTTACTATGTATTGGCTGGAGAATAGTATATTTAAATTTTTAATATTTTTTTAATATATTTAACATAAACAATAAATTGAGGAATTGATAAAATTCAAAATGTTTATTCCTGTAAAAAATTTACTTGAATCGAAAAAGTACTCAAACCCATTAAAAGTACTCTTGTTTATGTATTCAAACATCAAAACATTTTTTTTTCAATCAGACCATTGAAAACACTTGTTAAGCGTGCAGCTATTTCACGTTTATAAAATGATTTTGAATATTTTATCTAATTAATAAATTATATTTTCATATATATTTGTTATATGTATAGCGCAGGTGATTAGTGAGGAGCATACATATACTAATTATCACTTTATATACACACACACACATGACCCATATACACTAAAGAGCGCACAATTCTTAAAAAAGACGTTTGAAAACACTATGTGATTATTTCTTACAAAATCTTTCAAATGTTTGAACTATTTTAACTTTGTGTTAGTAATTTGTTGTTGTTTATATATTATAAATTATTGAATTTATATAAAGAAAATTAAAACGAATGCAGTTGACACATAGCTTAATATCTTAGTATGAAAACAAAATATTTTAAGACCAGTTAGTATGTAACTTTAGATGACTGTGCAGTAATTTAAAGTTTAATATCAAACCGTTGATGGACAGTAATTAATTTTTTTACTTTTTTTTCGTCTTAAAGTTTTTCAGTTACACGCTATCATTCTGCAATGTGAGAAAAAGTTTTGTACACAATTTTCAGCCTTTACTGAAAAATAGTTTCAATACTACGGAGTTCTGTAATCGGTAACTTAACAAATCCTTATCTATTCTTGACAAGATTAAGATGTGGAGAATACAATATAAGTTTATTTAAGTGAGAAAAAAGTAAATGATTAACAACCGAGTTGAGATAAAAGTTGAATTTTCCCATTCTCGATGAAGATATTAATTGCGGGCTCGACCCATACAGGTGTAATTTAGTTGTTTTAGTTGCGAAAAACGAATGTCTACAAATAACCCAAGCGTCGAATGACTAATGAATACTGTATAAATGCCGAGAGAAATTTCGTTTATTCAGAAGTCCACGGTGATTATTTTTAAGGACATATGGAAAATATTCTGTGATCCGTTTAGAGTATATAGTTAAACAAATACATAAAATAGAGGTTTTTATGAGTCTTCGGCTGTGTCAAAGACTTTGAGTTTCTCTGTTACTTGAATATTTAGAAGAGAAACTTCCTTTACGGAAATTATTTGTTAATTTTTTTTACTACCATTACATAAAACATAGATATTCAAGATAAATATCTTTATTACATTATTTTATTCGTACATAAACAAATCAAATTTTACAATTGCTTAAGTAGTTTTGGGTGTTTCACTACCGCATGTCACTTATCTTTGTGTATCTATACCTACTAGATCTGTGAATAAAAAATACCGACATAATCGATATTTTGAATTGCGTAAGGATTTTCTAATATATAATATGATTGGCATAAAAAAGATTCGACAAACCATTTTTAAAATGATTTGTGTCCATTTGCGATGACTATTGGCATATATTTGAATTGGTAAAACACACATGTTATTAATCATCACAGACATTTGACAATATAGGTGTGGTTTGGTTAGGTTTGGACTGATTCGCGTCTACAGTGTAATCACATTTCTATATTCCTAAACGATATAAATTTTAATTATATGTCCGTAAAATGTATAGTTAGAGAATGATAGAGACATGCAGATATAGAGAAGAATATAGGTACATTTTATTCCAATGTACATTATATATATCGTACCTCGTATTAACGGGGTTATCCCAAATTAATATATGGTAGTGAAATGTCCCCAGGCGAGTGGGTCAATTAAATCTGATTCCGTAATATCCTTTGAAACTCCCCATTCGTAAAACAATTATATTTTGAAATTTACTCAACAAGCATATAGTGTTACCACATTGGTATTACCATCGTTTTTTTTTTATATATATATACATACATACCTGTGTCTTTAATTGTTGCCTATATTTGATCGATAAGCATTTTATTTAAATAGCTGATTTTTTTAATTTCTTATCTTTTACATGATATACTTATTAACTTATGATTGTTTATTATATCCTAATAATTAATAATATTTAAATAATCGATATAACAATAAAACATTTTTATAAATAGAAAATAAAAATATGAACTATTTGATTGTATTTATTGAAATATCAATAAATTTATAAAATATTATAAATTATGAATTTTCTAGTTTATTTTATACATAAATTATTTGAGAGACTGGGCGTGGGAAAGGATGGCATACGCTTTTATGTATATTCATGTGCCATCATTTCAATTAAACTTAAATATTTCAGTATATTATATCAATTTTTAATATTTAAATTATATTATAAAATAGGCCTTTAAATAAATAAAGCAATCATAAACAATAATTTTGTGTTTGTACTATGCATATTAAAATTATTATATTATTATAAAAACCATCCCTATTAAATAGGTCAGCGAGTATTTTAGCATAACAATTACAGACATGTTATTAAATTTTAGATGATTATAATTTTGCTTTGTTCTTCTGATTATGAGATGAGAAAGGATGGTTCCAACTAATTGTCATTTAACATGCACGGTTGGGTCATTAGCAAACGACCGGGCAATGTAGTGAACAATAATATAAAGGACAGTAGAATTAGAATGGATAAACATTGTTAAAAGAGTAGCTTCAGTAAGAAAATGTTTTATTAAATATCCAGAAATATGAATTTAACAATGAAATAATATTCAACCGGCTTACTATTTTTTTTTTCAAATCCAAAAACCCTATATTTAAATAAATTTTCTGAAAATCAATTTTATTTTGCGCGATAATTTGATTTACGAATAATATTGTACTACCTAATTAGTTCTTATAAATTCTAAATTTATTTGGTTTGTTACAGGTGACTGGTGTGGTGGGACGAGCAGAGACACTGTCGTCAGTATTTTACTTATCTGCTTATCTATTTTATACGGAAGCAACCAAAAGGAAAAAATATTCTGGTAAATAAATTATGGTCTTGTAATTTTTTTTTTTTTTTAACATGAATGAATTAAAAATATGATAAAACGTTATTGTACTTTTTGTCATTAAAACTCAATTACACAACTATTGCTTTTCAGGATGGAAGCCTCTAACACTTTCTGTGGTTTGCTTGTGCGTAGCTATGCTGTGCAAAGAACAAGGTATCACAATTGCCGGAGTTTGTGCTCTTTACGAAGTTTTCGTCGCACAAAAGGTAAAATTGGTTTATAAATATTTTAATGATACGATTTTCTAGATTATAAAAATTMAGATTTATAATTGACAAGCTTAATCAATAGTAGAGCTATTCAATTTTATTATAAACATCAGATTTTTATTATAGTTTTTAAATATAAATGTGGATTATTATTAATTTAATTAATACCTGCAATTTATGTGTTAAAACTTAGTTTACCTATTTTTTTAGAGAGTTAAATGTAGTTGGTAGTTTTCAACTATTTTTTAATACCACAAAAGATAATGATATATAATATTTCGCACTGTAACAATATTAGAGTTTCAAATATAAATTTCTCTATCTGTTCTAAGTTGTATCTCAGCAACTGTATTTTCTATTAGCATAGTTTTCGTGATTGGATTCTAAGGAATTCTAACAGATCTTCGCGGTCTCCACGCATTCCATACGAGAAACATTAAATAAAATACTATCATTTATTATAAAACTATATAACTTTCGTCGACATAGGCACGACTATAGACCTAAATGGCAATGGGTGCTAAAACTGTAAATATCTCATCGACTCGCTAACATTATGCATTACATAATATAGCTCCTTGCATACGTTTTTTACTCTATGAATTAAAATATTGGCCACGATTGTAACTTTTTTTTTCATCTGCCGTATATGAAGCATAGTAAAATATGATAATGTATTACATATATCATACGTTGTTTACTTAACCCTTTTCCGGATATATCATTAATTTTTATTGGATTAATTCCTACACCCTGTATTCTTGTTCTGCTCTGTTGAACTATATCTCTACCTCTTGTAATACTATTTGTAAAAGAAACAAATACACAAGAACCTTTGTAAATAAAATTTTTTTTATTATAAAATCCTTTTGCTAATAAATTTTACAGTCAGCTTAATTTTTTCTATATTTTCTGTGATTAACCGTTTAGGTTTTGAGCAGAATAACAAAGAAGTTTTTGGTTTTATGAATATAAGTAATTATAAATGTTTTTTTTTTTTAATTTCCATTAACTCTACGGCCACGATGACACTGGATGAGCTTAAAATTTAATCTTCTATCCATTCAGTGTTATTTTGAATAAGCTACAGTAATTATTAATTTATTAGTTATATAGGTAATCAAAATCCTTCTCTGTTTTTTTTTAATTACCTATTTATATTTTAATATTATTCCGTTTCTACTTGTTACTAACTAATTGTTAATTACCCAAGAAAAAAATATATTCTTTTTTCAAATACATTTATATTAAAACAAATAAACTGTTTCGAGTTAAATTATACAAAGTATTACTATACCTACCTATATATTATTAAATCTACCAAATGTTAATACTTGTTTATTGTTGTATATTTGGAGTAGGCTCCTAAAGTATATACCTACTACCTAATCATGAAATAATATTATAATATTATCATTCTACCTAAAATATAATGGTTACTTTGTATTGTAACGGAATAAGCGCGTTGATGGATTCCATTCGTCGTTATTGCGCGACGAGGGATGACTGAGAATAAATCGAATTAACTCACTTCAATCGCGTTCAAGACAATGTTATTAATCCGAACATAAATCCTATGGTATTAATGAAATTGCTTATACTCATCTCAAACAGGCAATAAATTTGTAGTCAAGCATTTAATGTCGTTATTCGAAAATCGTTGAATAAACTAAATCATAAAAATATTTTGTCGTATAAAAAATGGAAGTAATGTGAATGTCAAAAAAAAAAACAATTATATTAATTCCTGGCTAGACTTTCTACAGTCTCCAAATTATATCGTGTCAACGAATAAATCGAAATATTTTCGTTTTCTTTTATTCAAATGGTGATCGATCGGAAATGATCTTGTTACAAATAGTTTTATAACATTTTTTTTTAGTAATTTGGCTTTTATATTCGTAGGTACTTGCATTCAATGACTTTGAATTGAAAATGCATACAAATATTATTGTTATTGTTTTGTAATATTGATGTTTAGTTTTACTGGGAATCTATGCATGTATAATTGAAAACAATTAATAAATTTATGAACTATAGCCTATATATAGTCTTCTTGATTATGAAATTATTTTTTATTTCAACCGATTTTTATCAATTTTAATCAATCTTTATACATTAATAGGTATATATATATATATATATATATATATATACACCTCCTAAAAAAAAATTCTCAAATGTCTAAAACCAGATTATCTATAGTTCAAAATTTTTCTTTGAGTCTTAAATACAATGTGTTTTCAATTGGCTTTACAATTCCTATATTATATACAAGATCTCGTTAAATCTTTGATCGTAAAAAACCAGTCACAATGGTTGCGATTGAAATTTATGTAGGACCGAAAAACTTTTAACATTTTCTCCCTTTAAAAAAAAAAAAACCATTATTATATTGGATATTATGCCATTAAATCTTTTTTTACTGCTGTCCAACAATAGGAGAACACAAGGATAAACTCATGTGTGCGCTTACGTACAACAACAATAAAAATCCTATGGTGACCCTCGACTGGAGGATCGATTTCACTTGCTTGCTTAGTGTGTTTAAAAATAAATGAAAACCATATTTAATCATAAAGCATATTTATTTTAACATTTCATACATTTTTTTCTAAAATTGGAAAATGTACGGTTTTTTGGGTCTGTTGAGAACAATTGCATTTAAATATTTCTATATTACCAGAATGTCACAGAGAAATAAATTATTAAGCCTGCTCTTATTTTCTCGTCCCTTATCCAGTATTTCCGTAAAATTTATAAGCTATAAACAGGAAATGATGTATACCTACGTGGACTGAAATTTGTGTTAACAATGTTTTCACTTGACGTCCTTTACAAACAAATCGTCGATGGTGGAAACTTGGAAGGTATTATTGCAGTTGTTGGGAAGTTAACAGAAATAGCTCTGTATATACATATTATAATATAAAAGTTTAATCGTATATACCTAGTTATCAAATCAATCTTACGTTTAATTACACAAAACGTTTTTCTTAGAGATTTATAACTTAGATTTAAAACAAAATATGTTTATTTTTGTATTATAATAGCTATTTACTTCATAACCATGATCTTACTAAGCAAACTTTCATTTATGTAGTATAAATGTGTTTTGTTTCAACTCTAACGATCAGTAGGTATAATGGCGTAATATGGTGTATCCATAACATTATTATATATTTTTGATTCAATAATAATATGAAATTCAAAATAAAATAATTATATATAATGTTAACGTGCAATTCTTTAAACTTTAAATTTCCAGAGTATACCTTATATTTTTATTGTAATAATGTCAATAATGATTTATATTAATACTTTATAATAAATTGTATATACTATATGAATGACTGATAAAGTATCCTAGGATGACAAACCACCTCCGCTCATAGTTGTTTTTCGTATACTATGATATTATGTCATTGAATTCAAATTTTATACCATCCATTACAGTAACCCATATGTAAAGCAGAGTGATATCCAGTTACTCACTTTTAGATTCTGAGTGGAGCGATGAATGTATTGATTTGACCATGATGTGTTTTTTTTTTTGTGTCTGTCATCACGTTTTGGGGCAGTAAATTTTACGCACAATCAGTTTTCGACAAAATCGATTTTGGTTTTTGATGTAATATTAAAACAAACGACCATAGATCCATGAAATTTTCACCGAATGTTTATATAAGTATAATCTATCCACCAAACAATGTTCGATCATTATTAGTTTTTTTTTTAAATTAATATCGATAAAAATTTATTTGCTGGGTAGAAAAGCTTGAAAATTTAATACAAGGCTCTTAACATATTGTTACAATAGCAGTTGAGAAATAAAAGAAATTTATGCATACATTTTTTTTATAAGCCTTCAAAGTTTGAATTTTGACAACATACTTAAAAATCACGAAAATTCGTAAATTATTTTATGCTAGAAATTCATAAAAAAATTTCCTTTTAAATCTAAGATTTGAAAATGTTTAATAATCTATAATATATCCTAGACAGATAGAACGTTTCCGCTCAAAATCGTTTTTCATATACAATTATATAATATCATTGGATTCAAATTCAATTCCATCCATTTCAGTAACCCACTATACAGCAAAGCGACATCCACTACTTATCCGCTTTTTTTTATTTGTATTTGTATTTTATCTTTTTATTTAAAAGCTCACTACAACATTTATAATATTTATAGTATGATTATTATGCAAACTGAGAATAATTACCATTTAAAAAAAAAATAAATAAATAAAAAACTGTTTGTTGAAAACATTAAAGTATGTCCTTCGAGAATTATTTAAAGTTGAAAACTATCAAAGTTATCAATAGATATTTTAAATTGACGTTAACAAAATATATACAATAACAAAAATACAAAAAATAAAATCAATGAATATAGACTTACTATGAAATTGTTTTAAATGTTGTAGTATTATTCAATATTCATATAATTACCGATGATTTAGTTTTAAAAATCAATTGAAATTTCGATATTTTATAATATTATCCCGTAAATCACMGAGTTTATGTTTGATAAAAATTCTTTGACGACTCAACTAATAACGCCATATCCATCATTATGGTCTTGATTATGTTTATTATTATGTGCGACATTGATATCCGATTCAAACGATGTAGTTATTTCACTGAGCTGCATTGCAGCTGGCATCTATTAAATATACAAACATAGAAACATTCTACCCTCCGTCGGAACAGATAGGTAAAAACGTTTGCGTGTTTGGAAGTATTCAAGGCTACAACAAAGATGAAGAGTTGATTATAATATATAAGAGCGCGTCTTTTCTGTTTAGGCATTAACGTTAATTTTTCACTATTATGAACGAAGACGAGGAAAAGTTTTCTTTTTTCCTTTTGTACTACAGCTATGACCGCCGTCGCTTCCTATCCGTGGATGTTTAAATTTTAAGCCTTCCATTCCACCCTCGTTGTTGTCGTCGTTCACAACCCTTGCCGGTCACGCTGCCACCGCCAAC